TTAGGGGTTTAGGGTTAAGGGGTTCAGGGCTGAGGGGTTTAGGGGTTCAGGGCTTTAGGGTTGAGGGGTTTAGGGGTTTAGGGGCTTATACAACGCTAAACTCCAAAACCCCAAGCCTTGACTCTAAGCCTGAAGCCTGCAAAAGGCGTTAACAAAAATAATTTGAGCCTAATGTAACCCTAAAGCCTAGACCTGGATCCCGAAGCCATAACCCCAAGTCCGCATAAGTTTAGGGTTTAGAGATTTAGAGTTTTGGGTTTAGGGTTTAGGGATTTAGGGTTTAGGGCTTCGGGTTTAGGGTACACCTCTGTTAAACAAAGCACGCGCATTCAGGACATCACCATACCCGAAACTCCAGGAAACTTGAACCTGAACCTGAAGCCCTAGAGCCTAAGACCTTAACCGAAAAGTCCAAAAGACTTTGAAAACCTGAAACCCCTGTAGTACCCTCATGGAACCTGAGAAAAAGAGCCCCCTCCACAAGACTCTGAAAACCGTAAACCCTTGTAGACTTCTCAAGAGAAACTTCAAAGCAGCCCCTTAACTCTTAGAGGAGCCCTTAAACCCTAAACCCTAAACCCTAAGCCCTAAACCCTATAAACCCTAAGCCCTAAACTGTAAACCCTAAACCCTAAACCCCAAGCCTTCAAGCGTTTTCTTGAGGGCATCATCATCCCAGCGGAGTTTGGCTGGGAGCTCTTGCGGCCTGAAGCGACGTCGCGACCTAGCTGAAGAGTGGCGAGTGGTAGGGCTTGGGGTTGAGGGTTTAGGGTTGATAAACCCAAAACCCCTAAACCCCTAAACCCTAAACCCCTCAACCCTAAACCCTGAACTCTAGACCCAAAAGGGTTTAGGGTTTGGGGCTTCAGGATGGTATAAATAGAGGGTCCTCGAGTTTGGGGTCATAAGGGGCTAGGTTTGGCGTTTAGCGTTTAGGGTGGTAGTTCTGGCGACGGAGGCAGGTGCGGGGGCGGAGAGGCCCCTGGGTGCGACGGCCGACTGAGGAGACGGCGTCAGAACAAAGAGGGTCCATATATGCTACGATTATGGGAATTAGCTCCCACAAGACCATCTTTATTGTGGTTTTGGGGGCCTACTTCCATAATAGTAGTATGTATGGACCCGCTGGGGAAGAGAGCAGTTCTGGTTTTTTCCACGTCAGAGCTCCGACGAGGAGGAAGGGGCGAGGCTTCTCGAGCCACCGGCGGCTAGCACTGGCCGTCTCTGCGCAAAGCGCGGGCGGCGCTAAACCCAAAACCCTAAGCCACCCCTAAACCCCTAAACCCCTAAACCCCTAAACCCCTAAACCTCTAAACCCTAAACCCCTAAACCCTAAACCCTAAGCCCTAAAAAACCCAGGAACCCCAAAAGCCCTAAAGCCCTGAACCGGCTCTTGACGTCATTGAGTTTTGAGTTTACCCATAGGCCCCATAGTAGTTCCTTTTCTGGCTTATACTTAGGATCCTATTGCTACTACCTGTCCTATGGGTAGGGCTTAGGGCTGACAAGATTTTAGGAATAAGGACTCGTTCAAATTAATGGGGGTTGGGTTCAAGGTTTCTGGTTCAGAGTTCAACGTACAGGGTTCGGGCTTCACTCTAAGGACTCTACGGGTCCATGCCAGCACATAGTGTATCTGCTTGGGCCTCAATGTGGTCCCTACGTCGGTACCTTTGGGCCAAAGTACATACTATATTGACACATGGGCCCTGCCGTTTTTTGGTTTAACAAATTATAGCTCCTAAAAGGTAACCCCCGAAGGAGCTCCAGTGGAGACTATAGCTAAACCATAAGGGTGTCCAGTCAAGGGTGCACCGTTTGGGATTCGGGGTTTAGGGCTTAAGGTCAAGCTGTGGGGTTTATCAGGGAATACCCAAAGGCTCCATGTACCCATATAGTCGATACTTCAGCCTTAAAGGGGTCCCTATATAGGTACTTTAAGGCATAAGTATCTACTATATGGGTACATGGAGCCTTAGGGATAGGCAGAGTAGGTTGTTGTAGAAAGAGACTTGTGTATCGTTACGCCCTTACAAAGCATAGCACATGGCGGGTCCCGTCTAGTCGCTTCTAAGAGGAAGATAGTTCCATCCCGAAGCCAAAAGCCCCTAAACCCTAGATCCCAACCTCCAAATCCTTAAGCTTGGCCACAACTGCAACCTAAGAACCCTAAACCCTAAACCGTTAAGACTCGACCTTTACTAAGCTGGCAGACCCTGAACCCTTAAACCTGATCCGGGTCTCCGTAGTCCCGGCTACAGGCTAGGCTTTAGGCGTTTATGGCTTTTGGGATTTGGGGTGTAGGGTTCAGGGTTTTAGAGTTTAGGGTTTCATATCTCCCCCCCACAGGCAGAGAATGAAGGTTGCGGATCTAGGGGTTTACAGTAGGGTGTCGGGCTTCATATTCAGGAACTCGGGGCTGGCGTAAGGTGTAGTTGTGCAGTCTAGGGATATTCTACAACCACAAATCGAAGCCCAAACCCCCACGGCCTCCGAAAAATGTGGACCCCAAATGCAGCAAACCCTAAACCCTAACCCTCAAACCCTAAGCCCCAACGCCAACCAGACAAGGTTCGACTTTGACCGGACGCAGCGGAAGGCACTCTTTTCAGACTTGACGACGAGATATCTGCAGGTGGGCACGGAGTTGTGCCGGTTTAGGTGTTTGTGGGTGTTTGGGTTAGGGAGGGGGTTCAGGGTGTGCTGGCGGTGTAGTCAAGGCTCTGGTTTTGGTGTTTAGGTTGCAGGGCTTATTTTTGCAGTACATACTACTCCGCAGGGTTTGTGTACAAGGCATGTGGGTAGTTTTCTAAATTAGAGTCCATTTTTAGGCCCGCAATATAGTACCACACCATTATAAAAAGACCCCTAAAAGGGACCCTAGTTTAGACATCTACCCATGTGAGGTTACAGTCTATAGACAGGTCCAAGTCCCATGCCTGGTTACCTCTAGACCCTCAACGACTCAACACCAATTGCAGGACGACGCTGAAAGTTGTCTTGTAGCCAGAAGTTCCAAACGTCTGAGCCGTCAGAGTTGTCATTTGCCTTGCCGTGGAGGCAGCAACTGTTGTTGGAATTTGCTGCAACTGCAAGCACTGAAGAAGGAAGGAGCAGCTGTCAGCTATCAATGTCTTGGCTGAGCTATGCAAGCTGATCTAGAATCTGGTGGTGAAATGAGTGCGATCACATGTTAGAATTGCAAACGAAGGGCGAAGTGTAGATTCCACTGCTCGTTCTCGCATTCATTGCCGAATATTCCGAAGAGTGAGCTGCCTTTCGTCGTATTAAGATACCACCTGCTGTTGCAGCCGCTTTAGCAGGCACACACACAAGCCTATAACAATCTGCTCGTAGACCTCAAGATTTTCAACACCCACTTGTCGGAACTCCGAAGACCTAAAAACCCTTGTCAGGGTTCAGGCTTTTTGTGTTTAACGTCCTGAACCCTAAAAGGCAGAAACGTAGACGTAGAGAGCAAACATCCATTTGCTGGGTGGCAAAGGTCGCATCGGCCGCAAACCCCAAAGCCGAAACCATCTTTTCTGATTTGGGTGCCTCAGGGATATGCGTTCTAGGTTTCAGGTGTAGGGTACTTCCCCTCCAAGCTGAAAGCTGCATGAGCCGGCTAACTTAAAGGTTCATGGGACTTAGTAACTAGGGTTATGAATAAGGTAACTATACTTATGACTTCTCATGAACCTCCAAGTAGCGTAGCTGCATCAAGCTGCTTCGAAACGTCGCGGTACTCGAGAACTTTGAGCACACCCGACTCTCCAAACCTTCAGCGTTTTACTCCGAACGATTTCCATGAGCGTTTTTTTGTTTGCATTTTAGGCTTGGTATTGCAGTGGGTGTACACTTCTACCTAACTACCTACCTACCTACCTACCTACCGACCGACCGACCGACCCACCGACCGACCGACCGACCGACCGACCGACCGACCGACCTACCTACCTACCTCCCTACCTAC